CTCGGGAGGCTGAGGCAGGAGAATTGCTTGAACCCAGGGATGCGGAGGTTGCAGTGAGCCGAGATGACGCCACTGCACTCCAGCCTGGGGGACAGAGTGAGACTCCGTGTTTTAAAAAAAAAAAAAAAGGAGTTGTAATAAATAACTGTTCTTTCAAAATATTGGGGCTTTCATCTTGTGTGTTGAATGTTACTAGATTAGGGTTAAGTTGTTTATGAAGTGCGCCCTTAAAACTAGTATTTATGTTTTTGTTTTTTTTTTTTTTTTTTTTTTTTTCCCCTCCTGTAAACAGGTACTAGAAGTTAAACACAGAACTATAGCCTTGGAGGCTGTAGGCAATGCATTTAAAGTACTTCTGGAGTGGTTTTGAGCTTCAGAGCATTGACACACTTGCCCGAATAACTAGTTGTGACAGTTCTTTGTATTTGCTGTGGCCCATTGGTGATTTCAGTGGCCAGTAGGCATATTGGAAAGTCTGATAATAAAGCAGTGAATCAGTCATGTGGTACCAAACCAGTTGTGGGGAGTGAAAAATAAGATGTGATGAGCAACTATATTCCTGTTTGTAAACTGGCATCTATGGTAGTTTAAAAATGGTGGCAAAACCGTTTTGAGCATTGTTGGAAACATTATGCTGTCTGTTGTTCTGCCATGTTAATATACCTGTAAGTTGATAGTTGTATCTTGTATCCTTGATAGTCTTACATACTTTGTACGTTGTGTGTACCACTATTCTATTGAGTAATTTGGATTAATTACTTTGGTTGGATTGAAGTCTTGACTCATTCACTTCACTCATTTATTTAGGTGTATTTTCAGTTCCATGCAGTGAGTGACAGACTATGTTGCCAAAAAGGAATTCTCAGTAAGGGCAATGCACGTAAACTACTGTTACTCAGAAATTATGAATAGCTGAAATCAGTACTACTGTTACTCAGAAATCATGAGTAGTTGAAATCACAAGGTAAATGGTAAAGATTTTGTTTTTAAATAGGATTAGATATGACTTTTTCCCCTCCGTCAATTTAGAAAATCTGCTTAAATTATCCCGTGGTTGGGAAAAGAAACTAGTGGAAGAAATACATTAAAAAAGCATCTTTCTTAAAATGTATTCAAAATGTTGTTCTCTGCAATGTAAGAGCATTAGGAGATACCATTTAGGATGAAACTTTAATAGCCTTTGAGAGGGACAAGAAATGAAATTAAGGGTGATATATGATGCCAGTATCATCGGTGTATTGGGTCTTATAATACATAAAATGAATAATAGTTATAGGGAGAAAACAAACCTGGTGACTGCTTTCTAAGAACAAATCAGATTTCTTATGTAGCTTCTGTGGTTTAACTGTTCTTGTCCTCCTTTTACAAAACTAAGCATGTTTAATATCATAAGTGCTACAAACATAGCCTAGATTGGAATAATTAGGAACCCAGCTCAAACTACCTTAAAAAAAAAAAAATTACTGGCCCATGTAGCCAATTAGAGAAGGATACCTTTTGAACTCGTGGAAACGGGAAGATCAGGAAGAATCAGGACTCCTGTCCCTTGACTAGTCCCTAGATCAAAACAGAAAAAGATCACCCATCATCCTGCCATTCAGAATTATTTATCAAGCAGTTTGTTCATTGGACCTCATATATTTGAGTAAATACAGTTTTCCAGGTGCTTTAAGAATGATATTTCATTGAATTTTCAAAATGGTGGTAGTTCCCTGTGGAGTGGGAGAGTTATGCTGTGTGCTATATGAAACAAATTGAGTTTGATTTTAAAGGCATGTATTCTGGCCTCCTGTTTGATACAGTTCATTTTGGTTTCTTCTTAGGGAGACGTTTGATGAACACTTAATGGTTTTAGAGTTCTGTTTGTAGAAAATAAAGATAAAATCCAGATTTCTTTCAGGATTATTTTCATTTTGGGAAGAACCAAAACGCTGGATTCTGAATATCTGTAGCATAATTAACTTTGTTCAAGTCTTCCATTAAAGAATAATTAAGTATACAAGGGAACCAAGATTTAGTGTTTTTGTTCTAAATTTGTTTAGAGTACTGGTTCTCAAACTTTAGCATGTTATCAGAATCACCTGGAAGACTTCTTAAACACATTGCTGGGTCCCATTCCCAGAGGTTCAAAAAATCAGATGTTGGCATTTTCAAAGTGAACTTATTAAGTAAGCAGTCAACATTTACAGGAACCATGTTTTTGGCATTTGAGGTGATTCCTTAATTGAAGAAAACATTGTGCAAAGCATAGGAGAGTTTATGCTAAACTCATACCTTTTTGCATTCTAAAATTATCTATATTGCATTATTAATACTTAGGATTGGCCAGGCATGGTGGCTCACACCTGTAATCCCAGCACTTCGGGAGGCCAAGGCAGGTGGATCACTTGAGGTCAGGAGTTGAGACCAGCCTGGCCAACATGTTGAAACCCTGTCTCTACTAAAAATACTAAAATCAGCTGGGTATGGTGGTGTGTGCATGTAATCCCAGCTACTCGGGAGGCCGAGGCAGGAGAATTGCTTGAACCTGAGAGGTGGAGGTTGCAGTGAGCCAAGATCACGCTATTGTACTCCAGCCTGGGCAGTGAAGCGAGACTCCGTCTCAAAACAAGTAAAAATCTGGATGTGGTAGCTCACGCCTGTAATCCCAGCACTTTGGGAAGTTGAGGTGGGCGGATCACAAGGTCAAGAGATTGAGACCATGGCCAACATGGTGAAACTCTACTAAAAATATAAAAATTAGCTCAGCGTGACGGTGCATGCCTGTAATCCCAGCTACTTGGGAGGCTGAGGCAGGAGAATCACTCGAACCTGAGAGGCGGAGGTTGCAGTAAGCTGAGATCGCACCACTGCACTCCAGCCTGGCGACAGAGCGAGACTCCTTCTCAAAAAAAACCAAAAAACAAAATACTTAGGATTGGATTTCACGTGTGTGTTTTTTTTTGTGTGTGTGTGTGTGTGTGTGTGTGTGTGTGTATATATATGTATGTGAAAATCCCATTTCTGGTTGAGGTGTGGTGGCTCATGCCTATTATCCCAGCACTTTGGAAACGTAAGGCAGGAGGCTTGCTCATGTTCAGGAGTTTGAGACCAGCTTGGGCAACAAGGTGAGAACATAAAAATTTCTGTTACGAATTACATCATTTTTACAACAAAAAATGGAAAATGACCTAAATAGGAATCATTAGGGAATTGCCAAAATTATAGAACAGCCATGATGGAATATTTTGCAGCTATTAAAAATGTTGTAGGTTTTCATGCCTGTCATTAAAAAAAAAGTTTGCAAATCTGCCACACGTTGCTGGTGAGAATATAAAATGGTACATTCCACTCTGGAAAATAGTTTGGCAGTTTCTTACAAAATGAAACATATAGTTACCATATGACCTAACAGTTGCCTCCTGGGCATTTATCCCAGAGAAATGAAAATGTATGTTCAAAGCTGCCCACAGCTTTGTTTCTAATAGTTCAAAACTAAAAAAAAAACTCCACCCGTTCATCAGCAGATGAATGGTACATTCATACCGTGGAATACTTTTCGGCCATAAAAAGGAACAAACTATGGATACATAACAATAACTCGAGTGGACTCCTGGGACTTTATGCTGAGTGAAAAAAGCCAATCTTAAAAGATCTACTGTAGGATGCTGTTAACATTCTTGAGATGACAAAATTACAGAGATAAGAGAACATATTAGTAGTTGCCAGGAGTTAGGACTGGTAGAGGGAGGGAGAGAGGGAGATGGGTAGACTGTAAAGGGGTAGCAAGAGGAAGATCTTTGTGGTGATCAAGTAGGTCTGTATCTTGATTGTGGTGGTAGCTACATGAATCTAAATGTGTGACAAAATGGCATAGAACTATATTAATACATAACGGTGTCAGTTTCCTGGTTTTGACATTGCTATAATCAAGAAAGGTGCCCATGTTGGGAAACTGGGTGGAGATCACATTCGACCTCTACTATTTTTGCAACTTCCTGTCAATGTATAATTCAAAATACTTTAAAAATGTTGAGACTATGTGATGATAAAGGAAAAGGTTCATAATCAGAAAAGCAAGTTAGAAAATGAAAAAAATGTATGAAACTACTTTAATATTTCATACCATTCAACCTAGTACATATACCTGGAAGGAAGTACTAATTAAAACTTTAAACCTGAGATGATGAATTCTTTTTTGTATTTCTGTAGTGTATGTGTGGTTGAGTCTGTATCACTTTTATGGTTGGAAAAAACCAGTTTTCCTAATAGGAAATTTTTAGAAGTAATCTGGTTTGGAATATGAAAAATTTAAGTGACACTAGGTTTTTACACTAAGGGATTAAAATTTTCATTAAATTTTTAATACACACTAAGTATGTATTAAAACACTAACTTAGCATGCATTAAGATTGGAAAGTGAATGTATTCTTTAAAAGATATTGTATTTGTAAATTTAAAATTATTTTGTACTCTTCTTATGTATTATAAGATATTTTGTATGATGTTTTAATCAGTGCTGTCCAAAAGAAATATATCGTAAGGCACATGTAATTTTAAACTTTCTTGTAGTCACAGGAAGAAAATAAATTAAGCAGGTAAAAGTAATTTTAAGAATGTTTTTATCTAACTGATTATATCCAGAATATTATCATTTTAACATATAACCAGCGTAAAATTACAGTGAGATATTTTACATTCTTTTTTTCAAGCGAAGTCTTTAAACTCTGGTATACGTTTTAGGCTTACAGAAAAGTTCAGTTCGGACTAGCCACGTTTCAAGTGCCCAGTAGCCACCTGTGGCTAGTGGGTACCATCTTGAACAAGAGGAGGAATAGTTGGGAGTGAGGCCTTTGATGTCAGGCCGAAGTTTGAGTAACAGCAGCTTGGCCATTTGCTAACCTTTTGTGACCTTGGGTATGTTACGTGAACCTGTGCATTAGTTTTCCGTTTATAAGATACGATAACTTCTCCACAGTGGTATTGTAAGGATTAAATGAGACATTGTAGGTAGTATGCTTGGCACAGGACTGGGCATGGAATACGTACTATAAATAGTGTATGTTATACAGTGGTAATTTTTTATTCCAATATATTGTTTACTGAATTGAATGACTAATCATTCTAAAAGTGTGACTGATTTCTTAATAATAGTAGTGAGTAAATATAAAAGCAGTACATGAAATAATTTTTACTTTTTACAATTAAAGTTTTGGGTACATTTAAGTTATGATTGATTGAATAGACAAATATTTGACCATTCATGTGCAAAATATTGCACCAGGCACTTGAACATTTAGAAGATAGGTCTTAAGATGATATCCTCAAATATTGTATATTTATATAGTATTTTACATTTGGCTGCATGCCACTTTTGTGTCTTTTTTTTTTTTAATGTAATACTCAAAGCAATCCTGAGAGATAGTTGTTATTCCAACTTTCACGATTGAAGAAGTTGAGTTTCGGAAAAATAACTTATTTGATGTCATACCCAGTTAGAAGACAGGTGATTTAATTAAATGGACAATTTAGTATGATAACTAAAGTGTTTCAGCTACACTCCTTTGTTTCTTTCCCTTCCACCTTTGCCATCTTGTCCAGGATCATTTAAATTAGAGGAGGACAATATGATGTCACTTGAGGAGGCTTTGCTCACAATTATCCTGAGATTATTAGCGTATTCAGATCACCTGTAATGTAAAAAGTTAGCATAAGCCTGTATAGATTACATGATTTATTTTGCTTGTTGCAGTGTTTCTCTTTATAAAGTTGAGTATTCTTCATCCTGTCTTTTGGATAAATATACCTATAATAATGGGCCACGAATATGCATTCCGTGGCTGACTGCCTTAAAATCGGATTGTTTAAAGTGTAGTTTGTTGCTTATTCAGAAAATTCTACAATTCTTTTAAGGAACAGTGTGCTACCATTAAAGTCACTAGTGGAAGGCAGAGTTTGTGAATAATTGACTTTCCCAAGGCAGTGGTGCAGTGGAAGGCATGTGTTACCTGGGCAGAGTTAGGAGCATATTTCATTAGGCGGTCATGCTCTGTGTTGTAATATGTAGATTTTGTTTTCACAGTATGCATTGCTGACTTTATTTCCAGTTTCTTCTCCAGTTAAAATATGGAGGAAGTCACAGGATATCCAGTTTGTTTTTAGGTACTATGGGACAAAATCTGTGACAGTGAACTATCAGTTCATCTTGGCAAATAATTTTGGTGTGAACCACTGGAGCGCATTTGTAAGAAGGGAATTATATTTTGGTGCTCAGGATGGGAGTGATGATAGTTTCAAAGGTTTCTATTTTGGAAGAGGGATCTCAGTGCCTAGGATTTCTGAAAAATTTCACTGTACACAGTTTCTGCTTCTGCAATTACGTTATGAATGAATGCTTTAATTAAAAGATAGAACTTTATATATGTAAAGATATATTTGCTAGGTTGAGATTTAAAACTGTGGGTTGCAATTAAAAATGAAAGATTCCGTGAAATTCATGGAACTGGACGATGTCTTTTCTTTCCTTCTTTATGTTTTTTAAAGACAGGGTCTTGCTCTGTTGCCCAGGCTGGAGTGCAGGGGCATGCTTATAGGCCATGACAGCCTTGAATTTCTGGGCTTAATTAATTTTTCCACCTCAGCATCCCAAATAGCTAGGACTACAGGCTTGTGCCACCAAGCATAATTTAGTTTGGTTAGTTAAAAAAAATTTTTTTTTTGTAAACATGAAGTCTTGCTATGTTGCACAGCCTGGTCTTGAACTCCTAGCAGCAAGAGATCCTTCTGTCTTGGTCTCCAAAAGTGTTGAGATTACAGGAATGAGCCACGAGCCCTGGCCAGAATTAGATTATGTTTGTATCTTTTCCAGTTCTAAAATACTATGCTATGTCAGTTTGGGCAATTTATAATACAGTAAGAGGAGTCTTAAATTTTACAATGCCAAATTACTTGTCTAAAAATATATAGAGAAAATAATTTGTCATGTACTCTTCCCCAATGTGTTGTATAAATATTCATGCATTTTGTGACTTTTTTTTTTTTTTTGGACTGAGTCTTGCTTTGTTGCCCAAGCTGGAGTGCAGTGGTGCAATCTCGGCTCATTGCAACCTCCACCTCCCAAGTTTAAGCCATTCTCCTGCCTCAGCCTCCTGAGTAGCTGGGAATACAGGTGCCTGCCACCACACCTGGCTAATTTTTGTAGTTTTCATAGAGAGGGGGTTTCGCCGTGTTCGCCAGGCTGGTCTCAAATTCCTGACCTCAGGTAATCCAGCTGCCTCAACTTCCCAAAGTGCTGGGATTATAGGCATGAGCCACCATGCCTGGGTGCATTTTGTGACTTCTGAAGAGGAAAGTGTTATCTTAAAAGTTTTTTGGTAGTGTTATTTATGTGTAGCTGAACCATTTTCTTATTTAAGTTATAATTAATGTTTTAATTTTGAAATCTTCATGTAGGGCTTAACAAATCCTTGCTGCATTCTAATAAACTCAATGCACACTGACTGAAGACCAGATTCAGGACAGAACACCTGGTGTGGAAGGCTAGTGTTTTTAAGTATAAACAGGTGTACTGCAGCCTAGGGCTGTTCTTACTTAGACCTTGGTTGTATTAATTAAAGAATGACACGGATACATCTTTTTCTTGAGAAGTGTTTTTATTACTGAAATAGTGAATACTAAATCAAGCCCCAAGGCAAAGCTTGGTTCTAATAGAACAGGTGTACATTGGGTGTTTTTCTTGCTTAACGTTTATTGAGACCCATCCCTAGCATTCAGTCTGATACCAAATTCTGCTGACTTTATTTGTCCAGTATCCCTGCTGCTACTACCTTAATTGAGGTTCTTATGTTTCATTTATTTCAATTCTTAATTACAAGCCTGTATTGCTCAGACCTGTACCATTGCAGTAGCCTTGAAACTGTTCTGTCAAGTCTAGTCTTTTGTGCTTTCTAGAAATCTCTCTAGAAAGCACATAGATCATGTAGAGTGCTTAAAAGCCTTGGGTACTGCCTCATTGTTCAAAGAGGTATAGCTCTTACGTAGGTTTTTTTTTTTTGTTTGTTTGTTTTGTTTTGTTTTGTTTTGTTTTTTAGGTCTTGCCCTTCTTAGCATGCCCTTTCTTGTCAAACTGTTCAGTGTTCCCTGAACATGTTCTTTGATGCCACTGTCCTGCCCTCTTGAAGACTTACCTCTTTACTACCTGGTAAATGCCAGCTTCCGCTTCAAGACCCAGCTCATGTTAACTGTTTGGAGAAACTGCCCTTGATTCTTTTGTTTTTGTGGCAGGGTCTTGTTCCTTTGCCCAGCCTGGAGTGCAGTGGCATGGTCAAAGCCCACTGCAGCCTCAGAACTCCTGGGCTTAGGCAGTCCTCCCACCTCAGCCTCCCAATTAGCTGGGACTACAGGCATGTGGCATCATACCCAGCTAATTTTTTCTCTTCTTGAGAGATGGGGTCTCCCCATGTTGTCCAGGTTGGTCTTGAACTCCTATGCTCAAATGATTCTCCCACCTTGACCTCCCAAAGTGCTGCGATTACAGGCATGAGCCATTGCTGGGCCTTGATTTTTGTCTTTTGTGATCAGTGAAGCACTTTGTGCTATGTATATACCACACAATCATTTTGAACTGGAATTTCTTGTTTATATTTGCTGCTCCGTATCTGCCTGTGTGAGGCCCTCAGGGGTAGAGACTAACCTGTTGTTGAATCTTCAGAGGCAAGGTCTTTTGCTTACTTCAAATGTATTTAGAGTTCAGTCTGTTCTTCTGCTCTTATGTAAAATGTTTTCTTTTTAAAATAATTGTGTGGTATATTGGTTAACCTCCTCTGCAAATGGGTTCATTCACTTAAAACCTTTGGGAAATGCCTTGGAAATACTGCTACACTACTTTCTTTTTTCATTTCAGTTTCTAGTTTTACTCTTTGCATCATCTCTTGTTGCTCTTAAGATGATTCCCTTGATTATCTATCTGTCTTTCAAGTTCATGCCTGCTTTTCTGCTCATAGCTGATAAAACAGTTGATTGCTAAATAGGATTCTTCTGAAGCAGTGTCTGTTTTAAAACGGTGATCCCTCTTAGGAGGGCTCCCATAGAATGCCTTCTGAAGTTCTCTTTTGCTCTGTGCTCACTGGCTGAAAGTTTTATAAACCGAGTGACTATAGTGGTCTAGATTCAGAATACAGTGTAAGAAAGGAAAGAGGTTAAAAATTGAGAAAATCGTGAAGTCTGTATTCTTCAAGAGATTTTGCAGCTGAATGGGACTCAGAATAGTTATAGTTCTCTTGGGCCAGAGAATTTTTTGAACTGATAAATAATTCACATACCAGAATTTTCTCTCTTCTTTTTCAGGAGCCACCTCCTAGATAATCTTCCTCTTCAGCTAGTGCTGTTTTATAAATGAAGCCTCTGAATTGTTCATTAGTATTTTCAGAACTCTTTGATCTAATACGTTTTATGAGAGAAGACATTTTTCCTGATGAAATGGAGTGTTTTGATTAAAATGACTTTTTATGTTTTAAGCTAATTTATTAGACATTTGTAAGCACTTAATTTTTGGGGCACAGTAAGTGTGGCGACTAATGCTGAACTACAAAGTTGGTTTCTTAATAGATATTACATAGAAGCTTCTGTAATCTCAGTACCTAGTTTAAAAAAAAATTAGAGTTAGAAAATGGTCTATACAGAAGTGAATAAATTAAGTACAGAGTGACCAGATTGATCCCTAGATTGGGGGGATTTTTGCTAATGTAGTATTAAATTTAATCCTAATAGTTAAATCAACTGATGGTAGTGCCATGAATAAATTTGATCCTTTTGTGGTTTTGAAAGATGTATTTTCAGAATTAACTTTATTACCCTATAACACGCTCAGAGAACATTGGTGTAAAGATAATGTTTTGTTTTTCTTGGTGGCCAATATAATCTTTTAAAGGTACGTTTTAGTTTAGGTGTCCCTGGAAGTTTTTGTTCTCAGTTTAATGATCTTGTGAAGTAAGCACCACCTAATTATCTATTCCTATTCACCTATCACTTATCCAGGCAGTAGAGGTTTTCTTTCTTTCTTTTTCTTTTTTTTTTGGAGACAGTCTCTCTCTGTTGCCAGGCTGGAGTGCAGTAGCGCAATCTCAGCTCACTGCAACCTCCGTCTCCTGGGTTCAAGCGATTCTCCTGCCTCAGCCTCCCAAGTAGCTGGGACTACTGGTGCGTGCCATCACACCCAGCTAATTTTTGTATTTTTGGTAGAGATGGGGTTTCACAATGTTGGTCAGGATGGTCTCGATCTCTTGACCTTGTGATCTTCCCACCTCGGCCTCCGAAAGTGCTGGGATTACAGGTGTGAACCACTGCACCTGGCCTAGAGTTTTATATTAAATAGTGCTTTAGAATTGAGAGATTTATTGGTAATTTCTGTTCAGCTATCTTGTCTATAAAGCAAAATTCATACTTAAAGTAGTTTTTATTCTCTAACTTCTCAGCTAATAGGCAGTGTGGTGAGTTGGAAAAACCCTGCAGACTAACACAATGACAAATACACCCTGGATTTTTTTGTGTAGTTCTCTTGCCATTTTAACTTTTGTAATCTGCTGATGAATCAGACTTTAGAGGAAAGAGGTAAGAGCTGACCTTCTGACTTCCTCCATATAACTCAGTAAATCTGTCTGGATTGTAGATTTCATTTTTTTTTCCTTGTTTTTTGAGACAGAATTTTACTCTTGTTGTTCAGGCTAGAGTGCAGTGGCACAATCTTGGCTCAACGCAACCTCCTCCTCCATGGTTCAAGCGATTCTCCTGCCTCAGCCTCCAAATAGCTGGGATTACAGGCATGTTCCACCATGCCTGGCTAATTTGGTATGTCTGATAGAGACAGGGTTTCTCCGTGTTGGTCAGGCTGGTCTCAAACTCCTGACCTTAAGTGATCTGCCTGCTTCAGCCTCCCAAAGTGCTGGGATTGCAGGCGTGAGCCACTGTGCCCGTCTGTAGATTTCGTTTTTAAGAGAGTGATATTTGTAGTGTTTTTGTGTTTATATATTTGTTCCTTTAAGAAAGTAGGCTTTTTGACTGATGGCTTGTTCTTTAGAGTCAGAATATCTTTAGTGTGTAAATAAATAAACCAGAATTCTTCTCTAGTTCTGTGATGGAGGACATAATTTGACCTTCAGGTTAGCGACTATTTGCATTAAGTTGTACAATACTACTTTGTTGTATATGAATGAACACATTTTTTATTCTTGTCACAGGCGTTTTGGAATCAGAGGAAGGAAGGCTTGTTGGGTCTCTGCTGCTTTATTGTGAAAGCAATGTGAGTGATGAATGCAGAGCAGTTAGTGTAGCAGCCAGTTTTTAGTTGTCCTATATCATTGGAAAGTTCCTCATTTAAGCACAATAATTTATTTTAATCATTAACCTTTGCCTTATTTTTTCCCTCAAAGACATGCACCATCCCTATTAAAAAAAAAACCCAAATAAAACAAAAAAAAAACCCCGCCCAAGCCCTATAATTAAACCAAAAAAGGGCTTCTGGCAAGTAAAGTTGATTTACTTTTCTTTCCTTACCTCTGGCCTTTCAAGATTCAGAGACTGAAAAGTAGTGAAACAAGTCACACTTTTCCCTGTATCCTGCCCACAAAAACTTTCAGATGACATGAAGCAAGAAAGAACTAACTAGATAGTTGACTTTTGAGTAAACTCAGGCTTTGTTTCTTTCCCAGCTTGTGGTAGATAAGAATAACATTGGACTAGATACTGGTATGAAGGTAAGAGTAGGATTATTGTTGGGAATATGGGAAATATATTCAAAATATATGAAGCTGTATTCCATTGTAAATAGGCTAGGTTGATGATCTTTTCCAGTCATCATGAAAACCACTTTATGCCTTGGTGAAACTGACAACGTGGGTTGTTTCTGAAGAGATGCATGTTATAATTTATGGGGTGTGCTGTGTGTGTGTGTGTGTGTGTGTGTGTAATGGTAATGATGGTATTCATACTAAATTTACTGCTAAAATGTTATAGTCTATTGCCAGTTAAAATTACCCAGGAATGAAGATATATAGCATTTTGAAAATACAAGTTAGTGGGAAAATACTTTGCTGCACAAAAATAGAAATTATTTGTTGCATTTCTGATAGCACATCATCAAACAATATGAAATAATTAGATTTTGTCTCCTGATAAAACTTGTCTGAAGTAAATGCTATAGACCAATGTGCAATTTTTGAATTATTTAGTCTCTGTATTTAAGAAAACCCAGCAAGTATTATACTGCAACCAGTATAAAAACAGCGTTTGCCATCCTCATTTAAAAATTTTCAGCTTTACTAAAGTATAATTGGCACGTAAGAAACTTCACTTTTAAAATATCTGGGAAACCACCACCTTGAAGATAATGATCACATCTGTCACCCCTAAAAGATTTCTCCTGCCTGTTGGTAATTCAATTCCTCCTTCCTGCTCCTTTGTCACAGGCAGCCACTAATCTGCTTTCTCTCACTATAGATTAGTTTGCATTTTCATGAATTTTATATAAATGTAAAAATATTGTATGCATTTAAAAATTTTTTTTTTTTTTTTGGTTTGGCTACTTTCAGTCATGATTATTTGAGATTAGTCCATGTTTACTTTGTTATTGCTGAATAGTATTCCATTGGGTGAACAGTCTGCAATTTGACTGTCCCTTCACCTGTTTGAGGGACATTTGAGTTGTTTGCAGTTTCTAGCTCTTACAGATAAAGATGTTGTGTACATCCCTGAACAAGTCTTTGTGTAGATAGCGCTTTCACTTCTCTTGAATAAATACCTAGCAATGGAATTACTGGATATTTTTAACTTTTTAAGAAACTAACAAGCGGATTCTCAAAGTGTGTATCACTTGAAATCCCACCAGCACTGTATGAACTCCAGTTTCTTCATATCCTTGCCAGCCTTGATATCGTCAGTCTGTTTAATTTTAGGCTGGTGGCAGGTGTTTAGCGGTAAGATAGCTCATTGTGGTTTCAACTCCTGTTTCCCTAATAACTAATGATGTTGAGCCTATTCTCATGTGCTTATTTGCCACCTGTATTTTTATATTTATATACTTAACTTATTTTGAAATGAAGTCTTGCTCTGTTGCCCAGACTGGAGCTCTGTGGCCTAGACTTGGCTCACTGCAACCCTTGCCTCCTGGGTTTAAGCTATTTTACCACGTCAACCTCCTGAGTAGCTGGGACTACAGGCATGTGCCACCATGCCTGGCTAATTTTTGTGTTTTTAGTAGAGATGGGGTTTCACCATGTCGGCCAGGCTGGTCTTGAACTCCTGGCCTCAAGTGATCCATCTGCCTTGGCTTCCCAAAGTGCCAGGATTGCAGGTGTGAGCCACTGTGCCTGACACTTCCTGTATATCTTTTAAATGTCTTCATATTGTTGACTCATTTTTTCATTTGGTTGTTTGACATTACTGAGTTGTCCTTTATCCTAGATTCGTGTATGTATTTTAAGGGTGTCTTTTGAAGAGCAGACTTAAGTTTTGTTTTTTGTGTCATAGTCATTACCAAACCCAAGAACACTAAGATTTTCTCATAGCTTTGCCTTTGGAAGGTTTATAATGTTAACTCTAATATTAAGTAGTTGGATCCATTTTGAGGTGATATTTGAATATATATTTGTAACAATGAGGCCAGTTCATTTTTTTTCTTTAAATGACTAATTGTCCTGACACTATTTATTGAAAAGATTTTCCTTTTCTTATTTAATTGCCTTGGTATCTTTGAAAATCAATGGACTGTAGATGCGTGTGTCTCTTCATTTTGTTTCATTGATCTTTCTTTACACCAATACTTTTAGTTAAATATAATGTAGCTTTATAAGTCTTGAAAATTAGGGAGCATAAGACCTTCAGTTCTTTTTAGAGTTCTTTTGGATCTTCTACATCATTTGCATCTCCTTTAAAATGTTAGAATCAACTTGTCAATTTTGACATAAAAGGGATCCTGGAATTTTTATTAGGATGCGTTGCATATATAGATATATTTGGGAAAAATTACCAATCCAAAACGTTGGACTCAGTATTCCAGTCCATAAACTTAAGTATCTCTGCATTTATTTAGGTCTTCCCTCAGCAGTGTTTTGTAGTTTTCAGTCTCATTTGCAATACTAGAGCAATTTGGCATTCCTGTATTAAATCTCTTTGTCATGATGTATTCTCATGATGAGTAATCCATGTTGGATTATTTTATTAAGAAATTTGCATCTGTGGTCATTAAGGACATTGGTCTGTACTTATTTTTGCCTTCTAGGATATTTGTCTAGTTTTGGATTCCCACTAATGTGGTTCTCATAGAATGAGTTGGAAAATGTTCTGCCCTCTTTACTTTTTTGGAAAAGTGTGTAGAATTGAAATTACTTTTTTCCTAAATGCTTGGTAGAATTTACCGGTGAAGCCATCTGAGCTTGGATTTTCTTTCCGGGGAGGTTTTACGACAGATTCAATTTATTTAAAATACGTAAGAGTGTTGAGATTATTTATTGTTGAGTGACCTTTGGCAGTTTGTACCTTCCAAGGAACTTAGGAATTTATTCGTTTTATTGAAGTAATGTTCCTGAGATTTCCTTATCATAGAATCTGTAGAGATGCCACTTCTCAGTTTTCATTGGTAATTTGTTTTTTGATGAGTCTGAGTTATCAAGATTTTATTGATCTCAACAAGCTATGATTTCACTGCCTTTCTTTTTGTTTTTGTTTTGTATTTCATTGATTTCTCATCTGATCTTTATTATTTTCTTTCTTTATGTTGAGTTTCATTTGCTGTTCTGTTTGTAATTTCTTAAGGTGTACACTTTACTCCTTGATTTGAAACTTCTCGTTTTTTCAACAATGGATGTTTGGCGCTAAAATTTTCTGTCAAGTTCTACTTTAGTTGTAACCCACAAATTCTGATATCTTTGTATTTTCATTTGCATTCAGTTTCAGATGCTCTTTAATTTATCTTTTAATTTTTTTTTATCTCACGAGTTATTTAGAACTGTCAGTTACTAGATCTGTGAGGATTTTCCAAATATCCTTTTGTTTTTGCTTTCTAATTAAGTGATGTTCAGCTTTGTTACTTTGGTGCATAAACATTTAAAATTTTGTTTTGAATTGACCCCTCTTTCATTATGAAATAAACCCACTTTGTCCTTGATAATAGTATTGGTTCTGAAATGGATTTGCCCATTATTGATATAACTATTCCAGCTTTGTTTTGACTATGTTAGCATGGCATCCTTTTACTATATTTGTGTCTCTGTATTTGAAATGAGTTCCTTACAGGCAGTATGTAGTTGGGTTTTGTTTTTCTAATCAGATGTCAGAATCTCTGCCTTTTAATTGTGATTAGTAGACCATTTATATTTAATGTGATTATCGACATGATCAGTTTTAAATCCACCATCTTGCACATTTTCAGTTTTCCCACCCATTCTTTGTTTCCACTTTACTTTTGGCTTTAGTTATTTTTGTTTTGTTTTTGGCTTTAGTTGTTTTTAAAAATATAATTGGCTGGGCGCGGTGGCTCAAGCCTGTAATCCCAGCACTTTGGGAGGCCGAGGCGGGTGGATCACGAGGTCAAAAGGTTGAGACCATCCTGGTCAACACAGTGAAACCCCGTCTCTACTAAAAATACAAAAAATTAGCTGGG